AGCGCCGAAAGAAGAACGACGTTCTCCCCCACGTAAGAAATAGTCCCTCAAAATCCCTGCGGATTCCTCAGCCCCGGGAAGGGATGAACATTGTCGAGACCAAAGGATGACATCGAAGTCACCCGAGTTCCTCCTCTTCACGCGTCCTCAATGAGCGGTTCCTTGACGGGGGAAGGCGCCTCGACCCCAGCGCCGGAGTCTTCTGCCGAGGGCGTCGAAGAACTCGGCGACATGTACCCAGAGTCCCCTGCACAAGGCGAAGACAACAACCATAGCAAATAGGTTTCTACTAACATTTCCAGCATTGTGAATCTTTATAACCATTATCTAACATGGAAATCAGTTTTTTAAATATCAAATTCCCACTTACCCCTTATCTTCCTGTGGCTAAAGAACTTGATGATAAGAAACTGCAGGGAGACGAAGACGAAGCAGAAGCCGAAGTTGAAGGTCCCGACGGCGAGGAAGGTGCGGGCGCCGCCCAGGGAGTGCATCAGGTTTCCTCCGAGGAACCCTGCCGTGGACAGGCCTGGGGACGCAGAAGAAGGATTAAAGAACACCTGATATCTAGCTATTTATCTTATGTCTATCTATCTATTCATCCATCTGTCTATCCATCCACCTATCTTTTAATCTATCTATGACCGTCTGCCTACATATCTATCTATCTCCATCCATCCTTTCACCCGCACGCCCGTCGATCCCCAACCCCGACCCCACCACCCACCCACCCCTTCCCTCGCCCAACCGACTCCCTTCCCGACTCACCGCTGGAGAAGCACGCCCTCACAATGGCCTGCAGGGGCGGGCGCCCGGAGGAGCGATGTGGCTGGCGTAGGAGGCCATGACGGTGTGGAAGAGGCCGTAGCTGAGGCCGTTGAGGAGCTCGATGGGCAGGAACCACCAGGGATTCACCACCAGGTAGTAGAGGGAGCAGCGAAGGGCCAGGGAGGCGAGCGCGATGGCCATGACGGGGGTGTGGCCCAGCTTCTGGATGACCATGCCTGAGGAAGAGGCATTCGGGCCTTTCATAATGCTATTATATTTATATTTTATTTATTTTGTGTGTGTCGCGTTAATTTTGTTGTTTGTTTGTTTGCTTGTTTACTGTTGTTGTTTGCTGTAGTTGTTGTTTTTGTTGCTTGGTCAATAAGAATCAAAATCCAGTGTATAAGATATTGCTGTTGTTTGTTTGTTGTAGTTGTCGTTGTTATTTTTGCTGCTTGGTCAATAAGAATCAAATTTCAAAATATAAGATAAAAAAAATACCAACGCTTAAAATTCCCACGCGAACACGTCCGAAAACTCACCCGAAATGAAGAAGAAAGGAACTTCTCCTCCGAAGGTCTCGATTCCCATGTCAATTCCCTGCAGCAGCTTGAGATTGGAAAATCCCGAATCCCAAGCCAGAGCCACGTCTTCTATGTGCATGAGTTTGAACACCCACAGAAGGCCCAGCGAAGTCCCCACGACGTATACGGTCAACTGAGGAGGAGCAGAGAACAGGTGAATTCAGGGTTATTTTTCTTCTCTCTCCTCTCTCTTTTCTTTCTTTCTCTCTCTCTCTCTCTCTCTCTCTCTCTCTCTCTCTCTCTCTCTCTCTCTCTCTCTCTCTCTCTCTCTCTCTCTCTCTCTCTCTCTCTCTCTCTCTCTCTCTCTCTCTCTTTCGTCTCCTATCTCTCTCTTTGTCTCCCTCACTCTCTTCGTCTCCCTCTCTCTCTCTCTCTCTTCGTCGCCCTCTCTCTCATTTCGTTTCCCCTTTCTCTCTCCCGTTTCTCTCTCACGCATTTCCCTCTCACCCTCTTTTCCCTCTCTTCCCTACTCTCTACTTCCCCCTTCTCTCTCCCTCACTCCTTTTTTCTCCCCCTTTCTCTCTCTACTCCACCCCTCCCTATCCGTCCCCCCCTCCCCCCTCCACCCCTCCGTCTCTCACCCCGACCTACCAGGAAGAGCAGCACCTGCGGGTGGACGAGGGCGCTGCCGACGTCGCCCATCTTCAGCTTTTCCTTCTTGTTCTGCGGGATGTCCATGCGCGCCACGACAGTCAGATCCAAGGACATGAGCACCAGGCTCATGATGATCATCGGCAGGAAGTCTTGCTGCGGGAGGCCCCTCGAGTAGAGGTCCACCAGCGCCCCCGAGACGATGGCTGTGATGCCCATGCCCACGGTGCCCCACAGACGCTGCTGGCCGTACTTGTGTCGCTCGGAGCCTGGGCGAGTGGGAGGTGCGTCAGTATGTTTGGTTGAGGTCTACGTGATGTTATTTCGTATCCACCCTGTTATTGCTTTGTATGAATATTATATGAAATATATATATATTTCATTGACATAACTAAAAAATGAATTACCGAGGATCTGGAAGCAGACGGCGTCGGAGATCATGACGCAGGTGGTGAGGCCCATCTGCTCGACCATGACGGCGAAGAACACGAGCCAGAACTGAGGGAACTGCATGAGCTTGGAGATGGTGGATTTGAGCGAAGACGCGTCGTGGACGG